TATATATATAATTTGTTATTTTATAATATTCTATATGTGCATACTCTTAATGAGAAAGATATATGATCATACTGATTCCCACTATTAAATAAGGGTTATAACTGCCTTTGTTCACTTTTTCGGTTTCCTTCAGTCAAAGAGACTCTCAACGCTCTTGATCAGTTGGTGTCTGACAATCTTTCGTATTTCTGGAACAATCGCGACACCCAGGCCAATTTCCGGCCACTTGGGAACTCTCTTATATATCTACAAACAAGTATGTCACTTGTCCAGCCTTGGTTTGTGCGGGATATACGTTGGTACATTTGTCCTCACGCACCAAAACCTAATTTTTCGGACTGGTGCATTCTCGTGTACTGCTATTGAGACGTCGCAGATTCGAGTCAAGGTGTCCTCTGCATCTCTGCAGTGGCCACCCTACCGTCTCATACCTACTATCTCTATACAGATTCTCGTACGCATCACCCAATTATACCCATCCGTTGTTGCAAATCACTGAATACGCCCCATTCACATACGCTTCTAGTGGTGTCATGACATTTTGGCACTGTTCTCTTTCTAACGGCGCTTGTTTGACACATTATTTGTGATGTTTAAATGCGCTTCTGCGTTCCACTGCTTGTACACATCACCTGGCTGAAACTCTTGGTTGTGCTTCTGCGTTCCACTGCTCATATACATCACCTGGCTGAGACTCTTGGTTGTGCTTCTGCGTTCCACTGCTCATACGCATCACCTGGCTGAAACTCTTGGTTGTGCTTCTGCGTTATTACCGCTCATACACATCACCTGCCTGAAACTCTTGGTTGTGCTTCTGCGTTATTACTGCTCATACACATCACCTGGCTGAAACTCTTGGTTGTGCTTCGGCGTTATTACTGCTCATACACATCACCTGGCTGAAACTCTTGGTTGCACTTGCTTTGAACGCACGCTCTGCGGCGACAGTGTTGTGTATTGCAGTCTGTAGCATCCGTTATTATTCGTTTCTCTTTGCCACTTTATACTGCCACAGTGTTCTGTATTGCCGTCTGTAGCATCCGTTAATATTCGTTTCTCTTTGCCACTTTACGCTGCCACGGTGTTGCGCTATGTATTACAGTCTGTAGCATCCGTTTATATATCTCTCCTCTCCTCTCCTCTCCGCCACAGTTCTACCGGCCATCCTCGACACATCCTTCGTGGTCTCCAAGTGCGAGTCTGCGTACAGCTTCTCCTACACATCGCCTGGCAATGGCTATCGGTCTCTGCTGATTGTAGTGCTGAGCTGTCTGACTGTGTTGAAGGAGTGCCTCTCGTACTGCCAACGCAAGAGAGGGCAAGGGCTTCTCTTCAATGCCGGATTCGCGTCTAAGGTATGGCTATCGCAGACAGCCCCGCACGATCTGGCACATGAGTATGTCACTGTTTATAAACCCCCGAAGTAGCAGGTGTTATAGTATAAGCATTGTCTTAAGCGTAATTAGCAGGTGTTATAGTATAGTCATTGAGCGCTATACGTGCTTTCCCTTGATTGTTTAGAGATAAATCCAGATTTCTCCACTACTATCTGAGACACCGTAGGCTGTGCTAGACATTTCGGGCCACATGATGGGCATGGGTATAGCGGCGGGTGCTCGGCACACACTCACCTGCTACAGTGTCTAGACCGCTAAGCTCTGCTGTAGTCCCATGACCGCCTGCAGGTACTGTCTGTGTGTGCACTCATCACAACACCCGCTGAGCCATACCACGACCAGACCACGCATCCGCGGAGTGACCGCAGGTGTGGTGAGGCTACTAACCCGTTCTCTGTTCTGTTCCATGGTCACTCTCAGATACTATCGGAATACACGGCGGTGTTGGACACTTTGGGTCAATTGCTGAGCATAGCAGTAGGTATACTACGCACATCCACGTGCTACAGTGTGTTTGGCGTACAAGATGCCGCGCTTTTACCCAAATTAGGGGCTCTGCGCAAAGATCATTTCTACGGATCTTCTTTTGGCTTCCAATTCCTTCCGCCGTTGAGACGGCATTTGAAGGTAAACTCGGTGTGGAGGAGTATGCCTTACAGTAGTACCTATGCGATGTGAAACAAAAATGCTATTGAAAATGGAATAAGGCATGTATTGATATGTGTACGTAGTAGAAAGCTGTGCGCTATATGGAGGTATACGTAGTGTGGCAGTATACGCAGTGCAAATACACACCTTTCTATATATATATATTTATGTATATTTGTATCTATGTATGTATCTATGTATCTATGTATCTATGTATGTATCCATGTTTAT